TCCGACGCGGATACTCACGAGCTGGCTGTGGCTGCTCCGTGCAATCCGGGGGTTCTTCTTTCGTCCCTCGTACCACGCTTCTGCCCCATATAGGAGGGATGGGAGGACGCCTTGGTGAACCTAAGGAGCTCTGACTAATGGAATTGCAAAAGTAGTTATTTTCATCTCCTCTAAAGGAAAGGAAAGCACACGATTGGTAGGCAGTCATGACATAGAATTTGTAGAATATCAACTTTTAATATTGCTTTCGCATACAGTCTTTATTTCCCGCTTCTAGGACAGCTGTAATGTTGTTTGGTGAGTTGTAGCACGTGCTAACTCGTTCTTGAGGAGTTTATGGCTAACGCAGGCGAGTGGGATTCGTCGTAACTATTACCTATCCGGTATTCAAAGGAGCGGCGAACCTTGATTTTCATTAGGCGCATTTCTCTACCAAGACCACTGCTAGATGTTGCAATGTTATAATATTGGTGCTGTGCTTACCAACTAGGACTCTACCGGCGAGCGGAGAACGTGCCACGGGGCCATGTTCGCTTGACACTTTGCTTCTGCTTGCAGCTCTTCATCAAACTTAAATATTCTGGTTTCTTCTTCTGGAGCGTATGCTGACCGTCGACCTGTGATCGCTTTTCGTTTGGGGGTCGTCCGATGGAGGGGACGTTGAGACTTCTGGGGTAGCGAGAATCTTGACATTTTCGTTCCAATAGCCTCGCCTCGTGCTTTTTTCCGCTAGTGCACTAGGATTTTAGGTTAAATCCAACAGAGGGAATGCGAGATATAAGAGTCATCTGCATCTCTAGGATCTCCTAGTGGCTACTCTTCGTAGCGTGAGGATCATTGTGTATGCATGTTGAGAAGCTCGCTATGCAAGACGTAAGAACAGCTAGTCCTGCCTACTGACCGCTATTGGCTGATGGTGATCGATTGCACGGGCCTGTGTAATATGCGGAGAGGTATGACTGCTGCGTGATTCATACCCTAAATCATTTGTTTCTTGTTTGAACCACAAGCGAGACTCATCTCTAGGACATTGTGCGTGACCGGGTTTCTGAAGAGCGTGGTTCCGAAGACAGTGGATAAGTCATCTCGTAATCAACCACAACCTTGGCTTCTTGTCAGGCGTTATAGGCCTTCGGAAAACCAGCTCTCTATTATATCAAGCCATATCGGGCTGTTCTCGCTTTGAGGGAACAAGCTTTGTTCCAGCAATTCATGTATTGCTGACATGTCCAGACTCTCTTCCCATGGAGCAAGCCGAAAGTTGAGGGGCGTCCCTTCTTTGGGAAGCATCGATCTAATCAGAGCCAAATTGAAATCCAAAGTAGGGCCCTGTTCTCTGACGAGTCGCTCAAGTAGTTCGTGTCCGCGTATGGCAGTAGCATAAGCAAGCCCTAGAAGCAGAAAACCAGGATTTCGTTGGGACCAGAAGGGATGATATAGTTTCAGCGACGCTTCTGGATGTTGTAAAAAGAATTGAGCCAGTGTAATGGGGCTGCGGCCAGACCCTGGCGGCTGAAAAGAGATACCAGAGCCACGGATCGAGAGGTTCAAGTACTGTGCATAGCGTTGCTTCATCACTTTGTTCACAAAAATACGACACCGTTGACCCGCGCTCATATTGCCGCTATCTTCAAACAGGATGTTATTGTAACGGAACTCGAGGCCATGTGATTCTCGATAGCACTGTCTGCTGACGTACTGAATTTGGTTAAATTCTAGCTCCTCAGACGCTATGGTAGCCCTACGAAAGATTGCCACGAGATTGTAATACAGGTAGTAGGTCGATTCAAGAAGATGCCCACCGAACGTGTTTACTTTTACAACCTGTTTCGCACGCGAGCAGATGCGGTCTACCCCGTCAGTTCCTGTGCGGTAAATAAGACCTGATGGCGCCGTAAGCACATACGCATAGACCTGCTCACGCAGTTCCGCTGGAAGCGCTGTCCATAGCGAGGCACTCATGTTTTCAAAGTTTTTTCCACTTACGATGTGCTTTATAGACAGAGACGCTAAATTGTTTTTAAAAATACTTTGGAACAATGCAGGCTTCATTATAGTAGTGAACACCATTACTGCTTATCTCTCACACTAGCGACTGTACATGGACCGCCCCAAAGTTGGAGCATGTGCTACGTGCAGTCTTTGCAGCATTCTGGTTCCAATGAGTTTCGATGTGTATCACTCTAACGATTCCGTATAACTAATCATCACAGAGCCCTATTTTACACAAACGTATCCAATGTGCATCTTTTCGTACCGGAAAAACCGGTGTGGCGGAACACTGTGTATGCCTTAAGTTGGGTAAATACGAGGCTGAAAACCTTAGTATAGAAAAATACTTAAAACCCCTTATTATTTTTGTTTCTATATGTCTCACTTATAAGTGATGCTTACATAGAAAAACACGAGATTATCTGGCTAGTTAT